ATTGTGCTTAAGTTATAGAAGGCATAATTCATATATGTTTATTACGTAGTCTTGCTTTCTTCTCCCCTTCTACCTGTTTTATGGTCATTGCAATCCAAAACCATGACCTTCTTGGACTATTTTAACCCATAGCTCCAAACAATGATAGTGTTGATTGTGCTTGAGTTATAGAATTTATATGTATTTTTTATGTAGTCATGCTTCTTCTCCGCTTCTACCTACTTACCTCGTTCTACCTGTTTTATATTCATTGCAATCCAAAACGGCTAGCACCATTTTAAGCCAGTGCTCCCTCCATCCATGATATTATTGATGATTATGCTTCACTTTTCCACCCCACTATTAAATTTTTTTCGTCTTTGCCCTTTTAAAATCGCACTGTTACTTACATGGTTGCTTTTAGAATGGATTAATCCATCCTATCGATGTTGTATGCATGGACTAATGGAAGAAAAGAGGCAAAAGATTTTCTTCCATAAGTCCATGATGTTGATTCTCCATATTGGAAAGTTTCAGTACTGAAAATAGGCAAGAGTATAGTGTATGTATAATGACTTGTAGTATAGTCTCTATGACCAGTCAAGTGTGAGCAAGCACATTTTTGGCTGTGAACGCGCCTTCAATACGACTACTCAAACAGTACTCTTACAATACGATTGGCTAGATGGCGCTCGGTCATGATCCCGGTTACTATGTTCTACTATAGGCAAGTTGAAAAATAAATCGATAACCCAACACCAACTACCCTAACCCATCTACCACTCAACAACAAGTAGAATTCGTATGAGAACGAAAGGAACAACAAACAAGGCGATGGAGGCAGCGCCTTCTTGATCAAATCCAGACATTGAATGAAGGCCTCAGTAGGCAACAAGACTGCCAGCATCCGCCAACTTTTTCAACTTGTTGTTGATGATGGCATCGAGAAATAGCCATGATGGCAATCGACGAGATCTATCCAGTTGGGTCAAATTGAATGTAGGTGGGCAATATTTCCTCACCACCAGGATGACACTGTGTAAAGATGAAAATTCTTTCTTATGCCGTTTATGTAATAACGATCCTGATCTTCCATCGGATAAAGTAAGTCCAACACCATTTAGTTCATCCACTGCATGCAGTGTGTAAATTGATGGAGGGGCAATGGATGCCATGTATAGGATAGATGTTAGCCAATTGGATCATTTTATGTTCTTGTTATGCTTACCCTTTATCAACCCCTTCATTGGATGATGTTTCCATTCAGCTTTACAAGTCATTTATAGGGTAGAGAGAGAGAGAGAGAGAGAGAGAGAATCAACATCTGTCCCATGGGTTGAGTCGACGACAAGCGATGGAAATGCTGCAAAAGCCAAATTACTGTAGATACTGTACGAGAGGAGAGAGAGAGAGATCAATTAAAATTGTTGTTGTACGACAGGCAAAATCCCATCGATTTGATGGTAGCATTGCTTACTTTCTCTGCCTTTCATCCAATAGTCATCATCATTCAATAGAGACAAGATATTCGTTTGTAAAATTGACTTTCTTGCAACGACCGTAAAACCCTCTTGCCTATGTTGTCATGGCTAGAACATGGCTACAACTGGACTTGTCTTGCTTCTTTTAGCCAGTGATTGAAGGCGAAAAATAATGTAAAATGATGTCCATGATACAAAATGGAGGATGATGCATTCAATAGTCGACTCTTATCCATTACATTCGATCTCTTCTTCATCTTTTTTTATGATGTATTATTTTGCTTGTGCTACTCATAGAAATAGAGACAAGCGATCGTTGACAACATGGAGTTAGAAGAGTAGAAGAAAATTCCACTTTATCCATCATATGATCATCATGTCAAGAAATGATTGCACTTTTTTTTCCAACTCCTTGTTATCCATCGTGTATCCAAGCACAGGACAATAAAAGGAATACAATTTAATCATTCCTAGATACAGTAGGTCCATAACTTGATTGCCACCATGTCTATCCAATGTTCCTAAAAGCAGACCTGAAGAAATAACCGATGCTCAACTTAAAACGATATCTGTGGCACTGGAGAAGAAATAGACAATAAATGACCATTCGACACAATTTCTACATCATATTTAGAATTGGCTAGAAAAAGATAAAATACGTGGACCTAAAATAGTCGTCAATAATCCTAGTGAGCCACACTATGATGATCGTCAATCATTCTAGGACTGCAATAGGTAGCATTCAAAGTATTCAACTCCTTCTTCTATCTTTTCCGATCATCTAATGTAAATAGATTAGGGGAAAAAATAAAAGTCATCATTTAATAATATTATTATTATCATCATCATCAATATACTGTTATCCATCTTCAATTGCTACTGGTGATGAAAGCCCAAATTTCCATCCATTCTAGGGAGAAAACCATGACCTCCTCTATCCCCATCTTCCCTAGTGCTAAACAGACACGACGAACCGCTAGCGATATTCGAAAGTATTGAAACTGCCTATCCATCCATCTTGAGAAGATGAATCAACCAATAGATACTAATTTACAATGGAATATTTTCGTATTCCAAGTCCATTAATTTACGTGCTGACTGTTCTTTCATTTA